ACCCGCCTAAACTTTTATGCGGTTGCACGTATTACCCGCGGGTACGGGGCGACTGAATTTAAATTTACGGGGTCACACTTGGGTGGGGAATGTTCCCGTAAATTTTCAGCTTCCTAGCTTTTGTAGTTCCTGAGTTGAAAGTTGCGGACAATTTGCTGCGGACACACGCGCACACACAATCCCATGACATTATGCGTTTTGTACTGCTGTTACATAGCGCAAAATGCTTAATAAGCAATTTTCTGACTGGTATCCGGGATTATAAACAAATATTACGAAAATTTACTACTGCCTATTGATAAAAAAAGGTCTAATTATTTTATCAGAAACACTTTCAGAGCAAAAGGTCAGATCACACATCTGTGCTCGAGCAATGGTGAAATGCTATTGGTAATTGGTGCTCGCCAGCTTCTTCATTATCCGCTTCAGATTGTTAGTCGACAAATTGGTTAGTGATGATTTTTGTCCGATTTTTTATATGACTGCCTCTCTATTAGGCCCCAGGAAAGCCTCTCAGGCATCTTCACTTCTAGCTTCACAGTAAGCTGTTTTTGGAAATTTTTTGAAATTCTAATTTTTAGGCAGTCCTTAGCTGACAGGTTACCAGGTCACTTTACATACAGGCTTGCTTATTTGGGAGATCTAAATGGCACTACATCCAGTGCATTCATTAATTTTCAAAATTCGACTGTATTCCTCTTCACAGTGGGCCAACAGCGCCAAACAAACTGCTTATGTTAACACTTAGACGATTTCGGGCCCTCGTCCTTTTCCAGTCTCCTGGCCAGGGATATTCATTGCTTGTATCTTTAAAATTTCTGAAACGTTTAGCTGATTCTGTGTGATTTTTGTAGATGTTACCCTGCCACTTGCAACGCACGATCGTATTGCTTACGTTCATCTGAGCCCCAGTGGTCGACATGCAATTATCAGTACAACGGGTGGCGAAAATTTCTACCTCAATTTGAAGAACGATTCGCCAAAGCCATTGAAGAAATTAAAAGTGTGGATACGGATAGTTCTGTTAAAACATAATGGAGAAAAAAACGGGGGTTTTTTTGAAATTCTGGAAAAAAAAGGAAGGAAAAAAGATTTTTTCGCAGACACTTAATTTTTTTCGTAGATACCATAGCTGTAGTTATTTTCCAAGTGCTTTTCATAGTAACCAATGTGGGATGAGTTTTTATTTTTGGTTTTTGACTTAACTTAGTCCTGTTACTATTTTCACATCGCGAAGCATTTTGTTAAGTGAACTGGCGCTGTTAGAATAAAAAAAAAAAGAAATTCGTAAGCATTTTCAGCTTCTTTTCCTCATTATTCGTGGGAAATGTAGATAGTTTTTGGCTGTTGTTAAATGGCCCTTGCTTAAGATTGAAATAAAATGATCCTTTTTTTGGTAGAATTTTGGAAATTTTCTGTATTCTAATGTCAAATTTTAATTTTTTCCTATTAATTTTTTTAAATTTTTTCCCTTTCAAATAAGTAGAGCAACTATAAATTTATTATTTAATATTCCAGCTGTTTCCAGTTCCTTTGAACAGTGATACACTACGTTGATGGTCAGCCTTCTGGCAATCCTAACGTTCATTTATCCCAAGAAATCACTGTAAAATCTTAATAACCAGTCTCAATAAAATCTTTAAAAACTGTGCTTTTAGTCACTGTTAATTGCTGTTTATTTTAAAATGCATTCGCTTTTCCCACTTCCTAATTTTCAGGGAAATTTGATAAGTTCGGTTGGCTGGAATATGGAACTTTCTACAGATAACGAAACAGGCTTTATTGTTCTTGGCACAACACGAGGTTATAATTTGCTCAGTGTCATCGAAGTTTTTTCTTTCACATTAGTAGCCTTCGCCAGCGAATGCCAGTAGGAATACTTTGATTAGATGTGTAGCTTCGTTCTTCGACTATACAGCTGATAATTTTTCCAGTTGCTTTGATCAACCCTTACACAGGTCTGGACCCCGCGCACGAGCGAGTGAAATTTTTGGAGGGAAATATGCTAACTTGGGAACCAAAAAAGCTAGAAAGCTGAAATTTTGCTGTTCTGTTCTCCGTCCAAATAGAACTTAAAGATTTCAAATTCAGCCCCCAAGTATGCAGTGTTATTTCAACTGGTGGTTAGCCCATTAAGAACTATAGCGTTCGTCATTACCTGAGGGGGTTAGCCGCTCATCGGTTTCCCTCGACAGCAACAATTAGCAAGACTCTAGATATTTCGAGTTTTTCTGACGCATGTCAAGTACCCCTATCCTGCCACTCTTAAATCAGTTTCAATCTTAATTTCTGTTTTTTAAAATAATAAATGTGATATAATTGGCAGTTCTTGTTTTCTAAAAAAATTTTTTTCTAAAATAGTGTTGCCGATTGTCTTGAATATTGGAAGGAGTGGATATTAGCAAGAGACACCGTAGTTGAGTTAGGTAAAAGATCAAGCTATAATTTTTTTAATTGCCTTTCTCCCTCTCCCCCTCCCGTCCTTCCTCTTCTTCCTGCCCCCGCCCCAGAATTAGTGATCACTGATACTAACTGATGGATATTATCTTGAATGAAGATCTTAGGGATGGCTTGTGGCAACATCCTCGTGATATCAATAATAACACGTTTGCTACTGAGTAGTTGTGATATATTGAAAATTTTTTTTTATCAGTTTCTTCATAGCTGTTTTATTTTTACTGATTTACAGTATCTGTTTTATATCTGTTTTGCTAAAAATTACTTTTTTTTTTGAAAATTTACTTTTTTTCCTGAAATGCTGGAATAGAGGGATTGGACTAAGTGTCATGTGTAAGAAGACATTTTACGATGCACTCTGTCTGTGTTTCATCCCTAAATCACTGTTTCTTTACAATTTACAGGTGCTTTATTTGAAACATCTATTCAGTCAAATGGAGCGCCTTCATATGTACGTGAATTGATGAGCAGTATAAGTGGCATAAAAGATTTATCAATTACTGGAATTGAAATTTATCAATGCGAAGAAGAGAGCGAAAAGCCAACGTATGGATTAATAATAAATCTAATTGTGATGAGAAATCCACTAGGAGTTTCAGAAATTTTAAAGATACAGACATTGGATATCCCTGGCTAGGAAGTTGGAAGAGGATGGGGGCCTGAAATCTTCCATGTGTTAACATATGCAGTTTGTTTGGCGCTATTGGCCCACTCTGTAAAGGAACACAGTCGAATTTTGATAATTAATGAAAACACTGGAAGTACCATTTAGGTCTCCCAAATAAGCAAGCCTGTATGTACAGTGACTTGACAGCCTGTCTGTGTTTCATCCCTGAGCTGTACGCACAGACGGCAGAATCGGTGCGGAATGTGATCGGAATCATCAGTACAGCGCCCCATTTCGCCATGTTAAAATGAACATGTTGTTTACAGAAGAAAGATGAAGGAAGAGAAGAAAATGAGGGTCAGTGTTAAAAGGGACTATATGAGGTTAATGTTGCATAGTAGTAGAAGGAAAAGTAAAACTAACATGCAGCAGATAATTTTTTTAATTTTTGTGCGTTTTTTGCAGCTATGCAATGCAAAAACCCATATTGACAAGGAGGTTGTCTGTGTGTCCGTGTGTCTTTGTGTCTGTGTGTCTTTGTGTTTGTGTGTGCGTCTGTCACGCACTTTCATCTTAAGATCTATAAAAGCTGAAATTTCGGGAACTTATGCACGTACCGGCCCCAATCCCCAAAATGGGCGCCATCACCCGCGTGGTACCCGCATACGGGCCCCCAAAGTTTTTCTGGGGTAAGTTCATAACTCGGGGATTTGAGAATCTAGAACGCTGAAATCTTAGGAAAATGTTCCCTCTCCAAGTAGGTGTTAATGCACTGAAACCCATCCCTCGGACAAGCGTGATACCCGCGTACGGGCCCGCCAAAATTTTTTTCGGGCAAGTTCATAACTCGGGGATCTGAGAAGCTAGAACGCTGAAATCTTAGGGGGATGTTCCGTGTTCAGTTGGGTATTAACGAGTTCAAACCTTGCCCTCGGGTAAGCGTGATTCCTACGTACGGGCTCGTATAAGTTTCTTCTAGGTAAGTTGCTAACTCGAGAACGTGAGAAGCTAGAAGACTGGAATTTTGTGGGGATGTTTCCTGACAGTTCTGGCGGCCAGTCTGAAATTCATTTAGCTAGAAGCATCTGCCGGAAAAACCAGTACCGTTAGCGACAAAATCTGCGGGGAGCTATGCAAAAAATGCATCTTCGCACGGGCAGCCTGTGCGTTATTTATTCTCTTGTCAGCGCTTTTTCTAAATACCGTATTTACTGGTTGGTCATTTTGAAGAGTAGTCTGTGTTTCATCCCTTAGCCTTGGCTGTAAAACAGACTTGTAAACTGCAAAACTGGGAAAAAAGTTACTTCACAGTTGAAAAATATTATTTAAACCCAGGCTGGAACGCACCAGGCGGGCCGGTGCGATTATGCGTTTTTGCACTTCTCGT